CACAGAGAGAGAGAGAGAGAGAGAGAGAGAGAGAGAGAGAGAGAGAGAGAGAGAGAGAGAGAGAGGCAGAGAGAGACATTTGTTTTGTTGCGCCTAACCTCCCTGTTTTGAGAAGACGGGCCTCAACGCCTGGGCCTAAGGGCCCTTTTGCAGATCACATGCCCCTCACTTCTTTTGGGGGTCCGCTTCCACCCTAGGACCAGTCCAACGCCCCTTACTTTTTTTGGGGGTCCGCTTCCAGCCGAGGACCGGTCCTTCTTTTTTCCAAAAGTCCCGGTTCTACCAGAGCTAGTTGTAGGTAGTCCGCAATTTTGCCAAGGATTGGTCCCCCAATTCGCAGCCCTTAGGCTGCGGTATAGTGTGCTTCCGTGTCTGTGTCAAGGTGTCGCATTTTTCGCGGCGGGCGACCAGGACGCAAAGTGGGTTCTTTGGGGGCAAAAAAATTTAGGGCACCGGTCCTTGCCAAAATTGCGGACTACCTACAGCTAGCTCTTCTAGAACCGGGACGTTTGGAAAAAGGAAGGACCGGTCCTCGGGTGGAAGTGGACCCCAAAACGAAGCGGGGAGCGTTGGACCGGTCCCCAGGTAGAAGCGGACCCCAAAAAGAAGTGCAAGCATGTGAACTGCAAAAGGGCCCTCAGGCTAGGCATTGAGCCCCGTCTTCTCAAAAGAAGGGAGGTTAGGCACAACGAAACAGGCGTTTTGCAAAAGGTAACTTTGGCGATTTTCGGTGCTCGGACGAAACCGAAGAAAAATCTGAAATTTTGAGAATCCATAGACGAGGTCGTGTTCTTTCCAGGAATATTACTATAATATTTTCAAAAAACCATTTAGACTGCAAAATAATCGTCGGGCCGATTCGGCACATTTTTTATTTTTGCCACTCAGCCATGTGTGGGTCAACTAAAAAAATACTCCAAATTCAGTGAGTTTTTGCGCTCAGAAGAATGCATGAAAAAACTTGAAAATTGGAGTACTCGTAGATTTTGTTGTGATCTTTCCAAGAAAAACGCTCAATAAATTTTAAAAAATCATTCCAAGTGTGAAATAGATCGCGGCCACAATTTGACCCATATTTCAATTTTGCCATTCAAGTTTAGCAACTCTCTCTCTCTGTCTTTCTCTGTCTCTCTGTCTC